AAACATGTGCTAATGTTTGATATTTATCGCAATGGAAGGTAAACAATACATTCTGTTAGTAGGTAACACACGGCACACGTTAAAAAAACACGCAATGGATGCTCACGCACCTTGATCGGAAAACATCCGCTGGTAGATCTCGTCGCAATCTGCCGTACAAACAAATATGTTAATATTGACAATTCGTTGCATTTATTGAACATTTTGATATGTTTCTGTTTTTCTAGAACAGTTATTTCTAGAAAAACAGAAACATATCAAAATGTTTTTATTAGGGCTCCGTCAATCTAATACAGTGTAGTTAACCTTATAATTTCGCCATGTCCATCTCTCTGCCCGATTATGTCGCTGAATTTCATATGTTGATGGTGCCGATAAAATGAGAGAACTGAAATAAAAATTTTTTTTTTTTAGGTACCTGCCTACACGGGCACCCCGTCATTGCGGCGGTAAGACCCGTTATGGAGGATTGGCTCGAGAGGCGTCACGGGACCCTCTTATACCGATTGACGCAGGTGATCACTGGGAAGGGATGTTTCGGAGATCACCTGTGTCTGATCCGCAAGGAGCCAACGCCTGAGTGCCACCACTGCGATGGCCAGACAGTGGACACGGCTCTCCACACGCTGGCAGAGTGCCCGGCGTGGGTTGAGCAGAGGCGAGACCTCGTGGCGGCCATCGGAGTGGGAGTTCTCTCGCTCGATAGCCTGATTGCGGCTGTCGTGCGGAGCGAGAGTGCGTGGAACTCTGCCGTCTCCTTCTGCGAACAAGTTATGCTCGCGAAGGAGACGGCGGAGCGGGACCGGGAGAGGTTTAGAACTCTCCCGGCCCGCCAGGCCCGGGCACGGGCCAGGCAACGCAGGCGACTCAGGCGCCGGAGGTCGCAGAACGACCTCCGTCCTCCATAAGCGCAGGCCTGGGGGTGACAGGTGAGGCCATCTGTCACCCTAGCAGAAGCAGGCCGGGGTGGCGGCGAGCGCGTTGCGAAGCGCGCTCGCTTCCAGGAAGCACAGGGAACATGGGGTTCCCACACGGGGGGGGGGGGTCGTCTACTCGTCTGTAGATGACCCGAGGTATGTCGGGGCACCAGGGACTTCCTTTCTAGGGTATACCTGGTTCCCCGGCTATTAGTACCCGGCGACGGCGTGCGGTTTTAGTCGGTTCGAGTCCGACATGCCACCGACAGGTGGTATCCGAGGGGATTTCCGCACGGTAAAAAAAAAAAACAAAAAGGTACCTGCCTACATTTCCGGTGCGGATGTTTTTTTTACTATCCGATAGGCAAAAACATTGCGGGACTCTACGGGATCACTGTGTATGGCCCGACACACACTTGACTGGTTTTTTAGTAGTAGGTTTAGGTGTACATATATAAAAGAAAGAAAATCTCCTGTTATATCTACATTGTCAGGAGACTAATAACGGTGCGAAATAAAAAAAATATACACGTAGATTATCTTTTGATAACATATTTAATGTGGTGGTGATGCAGTTGACAAAGTAGTCCAATAGGGATTACATCCATCCTCTGACAAACGCGAGTTTGATTCCTGTTTAGTGGCCATAATTGTATGTTTGGGTATTTCTATGTTTACATTTTAAATCTAGCTGATTTTTTTTTCTAATTCTTAAAACTCATTGGATATAGTTAGTTAGGATCTCCTTGTAAAACATATCATGGATCCTAGAGTAATACTGTTATTTTGCAATGAGTAAATGACGTACTTCAATTGAAAACGGTTTGTTGTTTAATATTTTTGTTTTTATAACGTCCTTGTACAACGCTCTAACTGACCCTTTGAGAAAGTCCAGCAATCGGTTTGAGTTCAAAACTATTGGTGCAGCACAAGTGTGCGTTTGCATAGCGAAACATCGCTGGCGGAGCGCCAAGTGCGTCGGAGCGTGCCGCGCTGCAGCGCTGCGGCGGTCACGCGGGAACTAACCAACAATAAACGCCGTGATTTCTGTTTGTTGTTCCAGCTCAAGTAGTTTCAACTGAAACTTACAACCGATACAATAAGTTATCCGATACGATAAAAGTTCCGTATGAAGCTGTTTTATATACTTAGAAATCGTCCGAATGCGGTTCGAGCTTAAACAAAAGCATTCTTGTAACATAATTAAATTCTTCAGTATTTCTTTTATTGGGTTGCTCTGGGTGTATTAACAATTTTTTTTTCAAGTGGCTAACTTTTGTGAGGTTTTACGTTTATCTAATTATAAAAAAAGTGATACAACAGTAAAGATAGATCCCCTGCTGCAGAGATGCCAGTTTTGGTGGATACATCGATTTATTTAATTACTTATATACCTATTATACATGTTACATACACGAACCAAACTTACAAAGTATTCAAATGTCAAGGTCCCATATACATCACAGTATGATCACATCATCGCCTCTCATATAAAAAATCAATGTATAAAATTTCATTGGCAGAGAACCTAACAAAGCGATGTCGAAGATATTACAATAAAATCTAACATTTGCGCGTATATTGAACGACCAAACCGTGAATATTATGCTATATTACACATGAATACACGACTCAGGCCAAATTGTATTCACAAAACGAGGAGAAGGTTCGATTCTCGCTCAGGGCGGAGTTAAACAGCCGGTAGTATCGTCAAGTATCATAATTATTTCTACTTTTACGGGTGATAATAAATACTTATGTAATACAATATTTATCACGAGAGCAGTACATGGGCCGGCTCGACCGGAGTAATACAACGGCTCCCAGAAAACCAGTGTTAAGCAATTCTTTCTTTTGCTTTCCACCGATTGAGTGACATTACCGGAGTTTAATTTTCCTATTGTCCCATCAGAAAACGACAATTTTCCCAAAACGGTTGGTAAATCTGGCAGGCTATGTATGAAAACCTGGCCAAATCTTGTCAAAGTTACACATTGCAGTGCTTTAAATAATAGAAAAAGATCAGACAGAAGATGATAAGAGAACAGTAAGATGTAAAATCGCTCGTTTGTTAATTTTTTATAAAAGGATCCTCACAGCTACTTATTAGTTAATACATTATTATTGTACTAAAACATTCACAATCAAATAAACTAATAAGGATAAAAACAATTCTATATGCACATAATATTCGTGTGTGTGCGTATGTGTGTGTGTGTAAGTGCATGCAGGGTATGTGCATGCATGTGTGTGTGTGTGTATGTATATGTATGTGTATATGTACGTCTATGCATATGTGTATGTTTTTATATTTACAAATATAAATCTTAATAAATAAATCAAAAAAACTAAAAATATAAAAAATAAAACAAAATCTCAAGTCTCAATCAAGTATCAAAAAAAAAAAAAAAAAAGAATTCAGTAATAAAAGTAGAAGAGTGTACTTACCATCTGGATGCCACATCTAGTTAATAATTTCAAGTTACATCTTTGGTTCAGTTGCTTGGATTCCCATTGTTTTCTGTGTTCGAGTGTTTTGCAAGTTCGTAATCTTACGCAAAATATATTTGACTACCCACTTTTATTTTATATTATATTCAAACGCTCAATGGATTTATTTTGTTTACTTTTATGTATGTTTTCTCAGTAAGTGAATTTTGTAAATTCTTTTGAGAAATAAAGATTCTTAAACCATACAAAATACCCATCAATCCCATAATAGTTGTTGTTTAGCAAGCGTCTAGCTCTAGATGTGTCATGGAATGGAATTGCACAATTTGTGCTGGCAATGAGTAATGTTTACGCGGGCGGGTGGCGCGCAGCGCGCCGCTTCGCCGCCGCGAACCGTATCAGCTTTTATCTTTTGGATTTACAACAAATTGATGTTTTTAGCGAGCGAGCGACACAATTAATTCAAAGCACGCCTATTCGCTCCAATAAATATGTTAAAATGTTCCGTGACAATGGCTCGGTGCCGATTTCACATCGCATTTTCGAGTAGCTGGCGTTTGTCGAAATTGTTCGCTCTCTCGGTATTTCTCCCTGGAGCGAGGTGTCACCGCACCTCCCCGCGCGGTGCTATTTGCTCGTTCAACGCATCGCAAACAGTGTCCACGCGACTAATCCGACAGAGGCGACGTTGTGACGTCACGACGGCGCCGCTAAAGCACTCGCGGAGAGATTGCGCTTCTCCCCTCCCCTCTCCGGCCCCCGTCTCAATCCGCACGCTCCGCGCCGCAGACCACGTTAACAATAATTTTATGTAAATCCTAGACAGTGTACTTAAACGAAGAGCACAGAATAATGTATTCAAATTCTGTGAAATTATACGCTTATAATTTTATCTCGACACCGATTTTAGTTAAGATAATAAGTTTATTGTAGTCGTTCTGATTATTCACACTAGTTTAGTGTCTCCTTCGTATAGACGAAGATGGATGATACTTTGGGCAGTTGTTCCGGAAAAGTACAAACACGACATCAACTTTAACGATAAAGATTTGTTACGAATTGTTCAAGTTATTTAATAGGCTGTTTATAAGCACAATCTAAATAAATATAAAATAAAATATCAGCCTGCAGCAATATGCTGAGTTAGGTGCCTTTTTTGGGAATGCTTGTGGTCTATTTCGTGGTTTTTTATTTTTTATCTTTGTTTTTATTTTATTGTAATAATTAAGTGCTGTTCAAAAAATATTTATTCTGACATAAATTAATGTTTATCTGATGTGTGAAATGTCTTTCGAAATAAGTAGTTTCCTGATTTTAAGATACAGAGATGACAGACACGGGTTTCGTTAACATTGAAATACCCTAGGAGTATTTTCGACCTTTGAATATTAATAAGCAACAAAGACAATGTACAGCTTTTTATGGTTTTTATAAGTATCTAAAGTTTTGAATGAACAGAAATGGTGTTTCAATAGCTGACAGATTAATAGCAGTGATTAAACTCAGGAAACACATCCTTTTCAATCAATTAATCTTTCCCAATTTGATACATTCGACTCAGAATTGCGGGGTCTCATGTTAGGAAGTAGGATGCATGGCAGGTTCTTGGCGAGATAGTTAATCAGGTAGCGGCTAACTGTGTAGATTTTCTTCTTTACCTTCAGTATATCCTGATCTCGAAACCTCATCATTATAAGCTGGAACTGTAGTGAATATTCTACATAACAATTCCATTACAGGTGTAAAGTTTATCGGTCTTCTTTGAAGTCTACTCACCTACAACATGCAGCGTGACGAAGAATGAGCGCACGGGCTGCGTGGAGACTTGACACTCGTAGACCCCGGCGTCCCGCTGCTGGGCCCACTTGATATGCAGCGTCCAGTCGTCCGTTTGCGCCGAATGCGTCGCCTGGAAACGCTGATCTGAAGTATACGTGTAGCCGCCCACGGTTAGGATGTGGAGGTCTCGGTGACGGATCCATGACACCTGTGGCAAAGAGAAATATCATTATTAAGAAGAATGTCGAAGCAATATTATGTAAATTGATAAAATAACAACCTCACACATGTCACAGATGGCCGTCTAATTCCAAACTAGGCAGAACCTATATTATGGTAACCAACTGCTTATAAACATACTTATATATTTCTAAATACATACAAATTATCGATTAAAAAAGCTCAGATATTTGTCCTGGGTAGTAATCGAGCCCACGACGCTCGATTCCCACCCAGGACAAATAAATAACTATGGATTAACAGTTAGAACCACTAACCATTAGACCAACAGGCCCATGTCATATAAAATACCTTTTCAAAGGATGGTGCAATAACAAGAACATGTAAATACCTTTTTTCAAGTAATTTAATGGACTGTTTATAAGCACAATCTAAATAAATATAAAATAAAATATCAGCCTGCAGCAATATGCTGAGGGGAAAAAGGACACCTATCCTTTTTGGTATGGCTTGTGGTCTACATCTTGGTTTTTAATTTTTTGTCATTGTTTTTATTTTATTGTAACAATTAAGTGCTATCCAGAAAATTTTTATTCTGACATAAATAAATGTTTTTCTGTCTTTCAAAATAAGTAGTGTCATGATGAACATGTGGATACCTTATTTTATAACCTAGAAGACCCTTTCTGTTGTCTTGTCACTTGCTTGGAGAAGAACGATTATAATATATGGGTAAAGTTGGATTTTCCGACAATAGCCAGTTCGAATTACAGGTGTACCACCCTGACTTGCTGGAACTCTTCAATCCTTCTATCATTACCGTCTCTTGTTTTTTAAAGTGCCGAGCTGACGGCCATGGGCTTGCTCCCATTAATGTAAGTGGAATCCAATTATATTCGGCAAAATGTTTATGGTTATTATGCCTCGATCTACCTCTTCTTGGGTATAAACATGTGTATGTGTATGCGTAATTTACTTTGTAGTCATGATACCTACGTTCGTTGAACATAAACTACTGCCAAACACTTCAACAATGACTTTTATGTTTATAGTAGAAATCTCTCACTTGGACAATTGTACCTTGGTGCGTTGACCCACCTACATGTTGCATACTCGAAATCTAAAGACTTTCCTTTCCTAACAGTTGAGTCGTCATCGATTTGAATTTAAATTTATATTGTAGGGGTCAATTTGGGCGTTGTGGGTGATTTCCTTAAGGTCAAAGTACGAATCAGGTTGTAACATAAATTCAATAATGAAATATAAATAAAATAACTACGTCAGTTGAGTTCCTTTAACAAGTTTCAATACAAAAATACAGGAATTTATGATATGACATAGAACCTTTTTGTAGTAAAATAATTTCATATGTAGTGTGTCGGCGCGTATTTCTTTGAACGTTCATAAAAATTCATCAGAAAAGTAATCGCGCGGCGTGACGCCATTTATTTCAGCAAACGTCTGAGTGCGATCACTCGAAGAAGGCCTTTATTGAATGTGAGCTCAAAGGGCGGCGCGTAGCGTGCCTACGAGGGCCCTACGAGCTACTACGACGCGCTACGGGGAGCTACACGGCCTCGTTTGAAGTATTTTTTGGCATTAATATTCGTCGGCGGTTGTTTTAGGCGCGGCGGCCATTGGCATGCAAATCAGCAGTCTCTATGAAAATTGCGAACGGCTCTTTATTACTCATTCCTTTTATTTACTGTTGGCATGTTAGAGCCCCCGGTTTCAGCTCTTTAATTATCTCGGGCGCGTTCAAACTCCACGGTTTTTTTCGGTTAAACTCAAACTCAAACTCAAACTTTCTTTATTTCATAAAATTTTCAAAATTGTTGAAATCGTCTTCCATGTAGACTCTAAAGTCATAGATCAACACACACAAAAGCAACAATCTCTGTTTTGTCAAAATTAATTTTTAATGTTGTTGATGTGGTTAATTTGCAATGTTGAAATGCCTAGAACATTTTAGGTTCCGCCTGTTTAGTAAACCCTTTTATTACTTGTCTGTCTAAGTAAACTTGTTTACGAGATACTAACGGGTATTCAAATATCTACATTAAATCGAGGTTAAAAGCCAGGTCTAATAAAAATTTAATGTGTACCCATTATAGATTTAAAGTTCTATATTTCGACGATTGAAATTGAATCCTAACTTAGCGTCGCAAGTACATAAAATGAGCCACTGACGTACGTAAATTGACTGCACGGATGGGGTAGTGGTTTATGCGGTCGCCTCGCCGCTTACTACTGCTCTGAGTGTTGTGGGTTCGATTCCTACATGGGACGACACTTTGTGAGATCCGCAAATTGTAAATATTATTTATATATTTATTTATTCACACAAACCTTGAATACATACAGTGTTTTTTTATTTTTATCTTTCTAAAGTTCGTATTACCAGAATATTTTTATATTATACTTTTAACATAAACCAAAAGGTTTTGATTTTAATTTCAACAAGTATTGTGTATAATATATTTGATTCACAACATGTAAAAATAGTTATGATGTACACGTGAGATGGGTGTTTATAAAATTCGATGATCCCTAACGTCTAAACTAGGCCGAGCCTGTATCTTAGACGTTAGTGTAATTGTTGTTCTGAGTCTGGGTGTTCTTTGTGTCCGTTTCATGTATGCTTGTAAAGTTCCCCGCGACACGGGATATATTCCTAATGCGGGAGTTGTCTTCTAATCAATAAAAAAAGACGCAAAAATGCTAGAATAGATGTATATACGAGTAGAACAAATTTTATTGCTTAATAAGTAAGATAATGTTAAGTACTTCAAAATGGTTTTTAATTGTCGATATGTTTTTAATTCTACGAGTAATCACTCTCCATCTTTTTTATGTCAGTTGAATAACAAAACAATCTATTGTCTATGGGCTGAGTTCTAAATAGACTTCCACCTTCGCGTGAAGGTAAAATCCAAAAGTACTTCCTTCCTTTAATAAAAAATCAGGTCCCGATAACGAAATGGTTTCCCCATTCGCTCATGAACTTGTTACCGAGCACCGTCTCATTTTATTTTACTTTTCAGGTGGAACATTGAATAGTAACGTTACGTCATCACTTTCTAGAAAATACTTATTCTATAGTTCGATTCCTTGTATTGTAGTAACTTCATGTGAAATAGATAAATATATGTAGATATATTTATGTATTACACTTAAAGTTACTACAACTACGTTTTTAAACTAACATGCAAGTCTTAAGATGGTAAATATTTAACGGTAATTAAAGCGTTAGGGGTAGTGACACTCCTTACCTTAATGCGTGGATGCCCAGAAATTTAAATCTCATTAATTTCTAAATTTCCTAAACTTACTTTTTTTAAATACATACTTCGTATTTTCTTAGAATCAGGTATGCATAAACTCGTTCTACACCTATCAAAGCAGGCTTTCTTCGAGTTACTCTACACAATGTCTTGGCCTCATTAGGGCACGAGTTCCTTGTAATTTGTGACATTTCTTTCAATAGTACATCTGATGACAGGCCTGACGAAGCTCCAATAATCAGACCGTGACATTTAAATCCCCTGTGTTGTAGGGGGAGCGGAAATCATTTTCATAAATGTTTTTACCACTTGTGTAGGTGCTTCGAAAAGAACTGTGATAAGGGTGTGTCAAGACATTAAAGTTTTGTACATTAATTTTACAAGTAGAATAAGTTAAAATCGGTGGCAGAGAATTTAGAACTTAAACCCTTTCCTATATAAATATGTTTGTACATGTCTCATATTTTATAGACTATAAATTAAATAATACATGCTTAATAAAGCCAAGCTTATTGCTGTCCACTGGGCAATTTAGAAATTGGTTATAAAAATTAGAAGTTCAATATAAAGTCAATCAAAATAAATGACAAGACAACATTTTCATCCCCATCACCTGGATATGGTGCGTTTTTCGAGACACTTGCCTCGCCTCGCACAACTAATCTGTGGAACAAGTTATCGTCGGCGATATTTCCGAACCAATACGACCTCCAACCTTCAAGAAAAGAAAGTACCCTTTTCTCAAAGGCCAGGCAACGCGATTGTGACTCCAGCGTTGCAGGCGTTCATGGGCAGCGGTGGTCACTTTCACTCTTACATAAAAGAAAACACTCTTACTTAAAAAATAAAATAAAGGGAAAAACCTAAAATGTTAATTTTAAACTATTAATCAAATAAAAAAAAAAGAACTAAAATATCTTAATAAATAATTTGTAAATAAAATATAGTAATTTAAACCACGTGAGATCCTCAGTAACACCAACCCACAGAACCCGTTCGGTAGTGTACACAGCTTTAAAGTTAAAATTGCATTAATTCAGTAAATTATTCCGAGCTTATGCCGCACAAAAACCTTAAGAATATCCACCGGTAATTAATTTGTCAACTTTAATGAATAAACAATAGACCTGCAGTAACAAGTTTCAACGAAATTAATTAATTCGTTTACCATCATAACGCAAAAAGGCCCGTCAAGTTTATTTTAAAAGTTTCTTGTTGCCTATTAGCGTGGGTTTTGTTTCGTACCTTGGCAAACTGTGAGCACGTGGACATAATATATTATCGCTTTATGTAAGACGTTAAAGTGGGAGTAACAAGCTTAGGTATATAGGAGCCGGCTCGACCGGAGTGGTATCACCCACGGCCTCACGGCAAACCGATGTAGAACAATTTGGTACACATATGATTGAGAATCTCCTGGCTCCTGCGCTAGTTTAAACTGTGTTGCAGGAGACAGTGTCTTCCGCACGTAATATAAAGGACCCAATGTAATAGATATTATATATATGTGATATTATTGATATGATATTATTATATATATGTAATAGATAGACAAGCGATACAATAAATAAAGGCAAATAAAAAAAATGAATAAATAAAATTTAAACAAATGTAATTACCTGGTCAATTTTAATTTACCTGTTCTGTCCGCGCGTGATAGTTTGTATGTGTGTGTGTCTACAGGTGCGTGTGTGCGAGCGGGTGCGTATGTAAGCGTATATGTGTGTATGTGCGTGCATTTGGATATTTGTGTGTGTGTGAGAGCCTTGCTTGTTAATCGTGACTAGGTCTTCAGTGATAATAATTCAATGAATTTAACCACGTATGGATTGCCTTTTTGGCTGCATTGTTATTTAATTTACTTATTTTACAGAATTTTTTAAATGTATGTGGAGCTAAGAAGTTGTAGTGTTTTTGTGCAAAACTAGTTTTGGTACAAGGGACTGGTCACTGGTCGCTCTACTCTTTTATTTTGTACAGGTAAGTACACTACACAAATACGAAAAGCTTTATTCCGTCAGTCACAAATACGAATTTTAAAAGTTCAAAATCCCTAATATAACAACACCGAATAATCACACATGCTATTTTTTATAATTTAAAAATTTCAATATTCCTAACGTTTATTATTACTATGCTCAAAATATCGAGTTTCAATAGATTGAATTAAAAATAATCCGACTTCATGATAATAACAAAACATCAAAATATTTTCTTTCACTGGTCACAGTTCTAACTTAACTTTACCTAAATGAGTGATCAACCATAGAGGAGGTGTTATGATATTCGGACTTTTGAAAATCGGAACATCGAAATTCGGAATAAAATATTTCGCAGTATTTGAGTGTTCCCTTTGTTCACATGGATCTTTTTTTGGATGATATAATTTGGTGTAGCAAGTAATTGAAGACACACAAATGAGACAAAACGTGTCCTGTATTAAAATATATCCTCACGTCTCCCTTTGAAGTGTTGTTTGTAAGAAATACAATTCACATTTCAGTAAGCCTGATAATAGAAATTGGTTTTGGTATCGTAAATTTAATTATAAGATGAACAGTGTATTATATATGTAAAACATTTGTAACTCAGATTACAATACTGATGATTGCTTGAGAGACGCCGCTAAACTGACCCAGTATGTAAAATGTACTAAAACAACACTATGTAATATATTCTGAACAAACTTCATAAGATACCCCACAGTTCAAGGAACCCAATTTGTATTTTTAGTATTTATGACATTAGACCTTGGCTGCCAAGTCGGTGGCACTGGCCGTGGTCACAGCCTGATTCTATAGTCAGCCTGGTCAAAATGTCAGGCATTTCTACTCTATGTACTGTAATACCTATCGTGAGCGCGTTAATTTACAAAACATACAAAAAGAACAGAATGGCAGTTCTTAATATGAAGTAGAAATGAATAGAATACATAAATCAATTACTACACATTTTTTGTCAACTGGATGAAATTAAGATACGCAACACAGCGTAGGTACACGGCGAATATGAAGGTGGATTCATCGGAAATATTGTTGGGTCCCTCCGGGAGAAGGCTGTTGAGTTAATTACGTTAGCATTCGACGTGATCAAGAGGCGCCGAAATTTGTACCAACGAAATTCCTTCTGGAAATTTCTGTCAGATATTGATTACGTACAAAATAAATTGTATGAATTTTTATCTTAGGTGGGGGATGCCGAATCTTTCTCTAAAAATAGTATTTCGAATTAGGGGAACTCGTCACTTTGCAAATGGACAAATCTAACGACAATCTGCCAACGCCAAAATTAATTAAGATTCCGCAGTCATACACGGAATTTTAATGTCAATTAATTACCTATTGAATCCTCTTATAAGTAACCAATATTTAGTTGACTGTACTGATGGCTTTAAGTTTTTACCTCGCTGCTTCCTATTGCGCTCAGTGTTGTGGGTTCAATCTCCACACGGGAGAACACTTTGTGTGAACCACAAATTTTTGTTCTGAGTCTGGGTGTTCTGTGTGTTTACTTTAAGAATGTTTGTAAAGTATTCGAGGACACAGAAGTAGAATAAGTATATATACTAGAAACGCTCTTTTAAAAAGTGCTCAGTACAATTGTCACTCCACAACTGTGCGCTTTTCAAAAACCTCTTTTCTTGTACAAACAATCTGGGGAGCAAAATGTCGCGGTATTCTCGACCGATACGCCCTTAAAGAACCAGTGGCCCCCTTGAAGGCCGGCAACGCACTTGTGACTTTTGAGTTGTAGATATTCACTTACCCTCTACTCGTATACCACGTACACAACGAAAAAAATACCCTAGTTTTTTACCGAGGGATGTCATGATTTTTATAAGTTCTCAAGCGCACGCACACACACACTAATTAAAGTAATCTAGCATTTTGACGGGCCTGTACGTCTGGTGGTTAGTGACCCTGACTGCTAAACCGGAGGTCGTGGGTTCGATTCCCACCCAGGACAAATATTGTGTGATGAGCACGGTCATTTGTTCTGTGTCTGGGTGTAATTTATCTATAATATGTATGTATTTAGAAATATATAAGTATGTTTATCAGCGGTCTGGTTACCATAGCACAGGCTCTGCCTAGTTTGGGATCAGACGGCTGTGTGTGAGTGTGTGAGATATATTATTATTATTTGAAATTTAACTATAACTTGCAAATTTGTTTAATGTTTACCTTTTCTTACTTTGTTAAACTCAGTAACAGACTGCAGGCTATTTAAGAAGCCTTGCAACAAAGACTATGACTATATTGTAAAGGTTGTATTTTTACGAAATAAATAATATTATATTTATAAGCATAAGTATTTCTAAGTAGTTCAAAATTCAGTTCTATAGCAGCCGAACAGCGCCACCATTGTAAAGTAGGTCTAAGCTGAAAAGAATGTTGGTGTGGGATCACGAGTCCCGTGGGTGGCCACTGGCGGCGGTTCACAGAGCCACAAGGCACAGTTTGTGCTTAAGTAACCGTAACGAGTTTTCGCTAAGAGCCGAGCGAACAATGCGACTGCGCCCCGCGAAAACACCAACAGCCTTTTGTGTTGTATTAAACACATTTTAGGATAAAATTATTATTACCCTTAAAAACAGGCTTTTTGCTAAGCTTTTTTCTTCATTTCATAGATTAGTGAATGAATCCTACTTTTAATCTATGAAATGGCAGATTCGTATTTTTTTTAAATAAGACAATTGGAAAATGCTTTTGTTTATTTAAAAACAAACGCCATAGACAAGTT